CTACTCATCATTATATTTGAAGTATATTCATTTTGTTTCTTAAAGATATAATCTATTCACTTCAGTTTTATTTTCCAATGAATAAAAAAACTACAATTTATGTATTCATTCCTCTTCTGATGGACATCTGAGTTGGTTCCAGTTTTTGCTATTAAATATATATTGCAGCGAGCATACTTTTAATCTTTTGCACATGTCTGGGAGAGTTTCTCCAGGTGATACATCCAGAAGTGGAATTGATTCCCCAAATTGCTCTGAAAACTGGGTTTTTACATTTCTCATAAAAACCTTTGCTCCATCTGGAGTCCTTCTTGGCGTAACTCTGAGCAGGAGTGGGATGACTTTCTATTCAGGCTCTGTTAGTTTTCTCATTTTTCACAAGAGCATGTCAACCTCAGCTTTACTCTCTATTAAGAGTAAAGGGAATTACCTGACAAAAACCATATGTCAGACTCTTGTCAGAGAGAACGAACTCAAAGTCACAGCTAGCCAAGATTTATCAAATGCTCAGATGAGAAAACAATAGTTATGGAAGATTACTTGAAAAATACTCAGACTCTATATTCTTCCTGATACTCTAAGATATGGATTAAGCTAGATCAGCAGAGGATTTAAATTATGGATTAAACTAGATCAGTAGAGGATTTAAATTATATTAAGTTGGTTCGCAGCCTAGAGCCTTGCTACTCAAAGTATTATCCACAGAGCAGAACATGAGCATCACCTGGCAGCTTTTAAGAAATGAGATTATCTTGCTCTACCCCGATCTCAGAAAGGAGGTCTGCAGTCTAGTAAGTGATTTATTTATAAAGTCTGAGGAGCACCATTTTAGAGAATTCCTTCTCATTTTGTTGTTCCTGTTTGGGTTTCATCTGCTTTTATTGAAACAGAGAAAATTTAGTATTGTGTATGTAGTAAAAATAATGTTCAAGTCACTGGCCATTATAGCAAATAATGAACGCTTAATGAGGACCCTCCAGAAAAGTGTGTCTGCTCTTAGTGTCAGATAGTTGTGCTTTTGCCGAATCACTCCCATTTTAATGTTGGAGACACTGTGAAATATGTGACTGAACAGATTTTCTTTCTTTTTTGGCTGCTAATTACCCCAAATGGGACCGGCTCACAGCAGGTATATAAGCATTTACAGTAGACACTTTGAAGTAATCTCACACCTGGCTCTATCTTATGTCCCAACATGGATTGCTCTCATCATTTTCATGTATTTTAATTCGTGTTTTCTAGGTATGTTTTATTTACCATTGTGACTACCTTAACTTCCACTTGAAACAAGAGAACAAAGGAGAACACTAGTAAGCGAAGATTATACCAAGTATAAGAACAGATCACGTGCTTGTTTCAGCGACACATATACTAAAATTGGGAGGACACAGAAAAGATTAGCATGGCCCCTACACAAGAATGACATGCAAATGTGTAAAGTGTCCCATATTTTTAGTCAAAGTCATCCCTCTTTGGTGATGATATGATTCTATACCCCCCAAATCCAAGATAACCTGTCAAAAACCTGCTTGCACTAATAAAGGACTTTGGCAAAGTCTCAGGGTACAAAACAAATGTGCAAAAGACAGTCACATTCTCACACACCAACAACAAATGGAGAACCAAATAAAAAGCACAATCTCATTCACAATAGCCACAACAACAACAAAATGAAATACCTCAGCATCTTCCTAACCACAAAAGTGAAAGACTTCTGCAATGAAAACTGCAAAACATTGCTCAAGGAAATCAAAGATGACACAAACAAATGGAAAAAGATTTCATGCTCATGGATCGGAAGAATCAACATTGTGAAGATGTCCATCCCACCCAAGGCAATCTACAGATTAATTCAATACCCATTAAATTACCCGCATCATTCTTCTCAGACCTCGAAATGACAATATAGAAATTCATATGGAAACATAAAAGACCACGAATAGCCAAAACAATCGTTAACAAGAGAAACAAAGCAGGAGGTATCATGCGTTCACACTTTAAACTCTATCATAAGGTAACAATAATCAAAACAACCTGGTACTGATACAAGAACAGGCACATCGTTCAATGGAACAGGATAGAGATTCCAGAAGCCAAACTTCAATTTCTCAACCAACTCATCTCTGACAAAGCCTTCACTAACAACCACTGGGGAGAGGAGAACCTATTCAGTAAATGGTCCTGGAAAAACTGGCTGACCACATGCAGAAGATTGAGACAGGACCCCTGCCTATCATCATCCACAAATATCAACTCTAAATGGATCAAAGACTTAAATGTAAAACCTCAAACAGCAAGAATCTTAGAAAATGCAGGCGACACCCTTATAGAAGTTGGAACTGGCATCCAATTTCTGATCAAAGCCCCAAATGCTCATGCCATAAGAGATAAGATAGAAAGGTGGGGCCTCATCAAATTGAAAAGCTTCTGCAAAGCAAATGTAACCACCAAGAGAGTGGGGAGATAGCCCACAGAATGGGAAAAAAAATTTGCCAATTATATATCTGACAAAAGCCTAACATCTAGGATCTACAAGGAACTCAAATGCACAGAAAAGAAAAAAACAAACAGCCCCATTAAAACGTGGGAAAAAGATATGAACAGACACTTCTCAAAAGAAGTCGTACGAGCAGCCAACAGATACATGAAAAAATGCTCAGCCTCACTAATTATCAAAGAAATGCAAATTAAAACCACACTGAGATACCACCTAAATCCAGTCAGGATGACCATGATCACTAACACAAAAAGCAACAGATTCTGGAGAGGATGCAGAGAAAAGAGAACACTTTTACACTGTTGGTGGGAGTGTAAACTAGTACAACTTCTGTGAAAAACAGTGTGGCGATTCCTAAAATATCTACAAATCGACCTTCCATATGATCCAGGAATCCCCATTCTGGTAATATACCTGGAGGAACTCAAATCACTCTATGAAAAAGATAACTTCACATACATGTTTATTTCAGCATTATTCACAATAGCAAAAACATGGAACGAACCGTGCTACCCACTGAAAGTGGACTGGATTAAAAAATGTGGTACATGCCCATGATAGAATATGATACAGTCATAAAGAAAGATAGAATTATGAACTTCAAAACAACTTGGATGAACTTATAGAGTCTATCATACTCAGTGATCTATCACAGAAACAAAGAAATGAGTACCACATGTTCTCACTCATAAGTGGACCCTGAACAATTATCATAATGCTATAAGAAAGTAGTGGAAACTGCCGGGGGAGGGTTGGGGGGGGACACTTCATCAATAAGGATACACTATTTCAAATCGAACAGGTGAAATGGGGACCAAAGTAAAGCCCCAACTTTACCTGTACAATGACCATTTGAATACCTAACCCTGAATTGTACCCCATATCTTTAAAATAGAAATTTAAAAAAGCCAGCCCATCATAGTTCTGATCACACGATCTATTCTACCTTTATGTCATCCCATAAGACAATAATGGCCAAAGAACACAAATCCCAACACATTTCTGCCTGATTGAGTCTGACATTAGATTTAATGTAATGACATTTTTACACTAACACTAAGTATAAGTATTTTGAAAAATAAAATGAAACATTTCAGGGTGATAACGCAATGCTTACAATATAATTTAAATGCCAATACCATGAATGACATTCCAGCATGGCAACTATTGGTATACAAAGGATAGATTTGCCTGTGTCTAATGACCTAATCTGATATTTCTAAAATTTCTCCAAGTAGTTTTGTTCTTGCAAAATGTATCTTTGAATGTTTATTTCCTTATCCCTTCATCAATCATAATTGAAGTGTAGCCCAAAGTGTACTGGTGGCAAAATCAGTAGATATGTGAATACAAATTGGCTAGGTTACTTATTAGCAGTGTGACTTTACTAAAAATATGTGTCTGTCCTGAGTTTTAATTTCTATCAAAAGTAGTAAAAATACAGACCTCACAGATTCGTTGAGAAAACTCAAAGAGATAAACTATATAAAGAGTCTGGCCCAGAGCTGAGTAGTAATCAGATGCTAGTTGGTCTTTCTGACTGTCAATTAGCCATATATTGATTTGTTGGTATATCAAAAAATGACATGATAGAGAACACTTAGGAAATGCTCAAACCATAATGCTAATAACTGTGGAGTGGTCTTTAATTTAACTGATATCTTAGTGTTGGGCATTTGGATTATTTATTTCCCACTCATAAGTAATGCTAAATATATGTATATATCTTTGTGTGCTCTGTTTATTATTTTCTTATGCAGAACACTTTTAGAAATAAAACCACTGGATTAAAGATTATGACTATTTTCATGTTATTGATATTCATTGTCAAATTTCCCTTCAAAAATGCATATTTTTACTTTCAATCTATGAGTGTATTTAGTCTTAATCCTAAATCAGTATTGCTATTCATCATAATTAAATAATAAGTAAACACATAAAAAGTCATTAAAGATGCTTAGAACAGAAGACTAACTTATGACCAAGATGGCTTAGTTTGATAAACTTTAGACATGTTTCTTTTTGACTGCAGTCTTCTAACCTTCCTTCTCTTCAAGCATTTACTTTAGGAACTTGCAACTGTAAATTCATTCTCTTCCTCCTTGAGATATAAATAATTTCCCAGGCTCCCGTCCTTTTTACAACCCTGAAATATCTGTTTTATGACCGGGGAGCTATATTCGTTTGAAATGTAATCATCAGTAAACATAAGGTTCTTATCTCCCAGTGTCTGAGAGAGAGTGGGAGCCTAACTTCAATAAGCAGCAGTTAAAAAACACAGATAGCCTAACCTCGTTGGCCAGTGTTTTCCCTAACATCCTTCCGTTTCCACTAGCTCACACTAGTCCTTAAAATCGCTTCTGTCTTCTTCTACTTCTTCTTTTTTCAACAGTTGAGTTAATCTTTTTTCCCCATTGCCATAGTTTTGGCCTCTATTGCAACAGTCTTAAAGTCTTCCTTGCCTGCTTAACTCCATCGGACGCAAGTCTTCTTGGTCACTTACCATCTTCTTTGAAGGCATCTGAGGAATGATAAAGATTGATGGGGGAATAATAATGCTGGGCTGCTCCTCGCCAGCTAGGTGAAGAAACACCCAGCGTTCCCAAGGAGGGGCTGCTGTATCGCGGTCTGGTTTTCGAACCGAAGAGGGATGAAGACGAACTCTTCTTAATTCTGAGCAAAGCAGCATATGCAGTGGGCGGACTAGGCAGAGCTTCAGCACATTCTGTGTAAAAAAAAGAAAATAATAGCAAAAATTAATTTTGAGGAGACTGGCTTATTTTTCTAATATAAAAATCGTTTCTTCTGAGGACGTTGTTAAAAACCTTCCTTGGAGCTGCATCCAAATTCAAACTGCACGGAAAGTGGGGAAGAAAAGTTACTTGTACATTTTTAAGTATATTCTCGAAATTCTACTTGTTGCTATTGAGTTACTGCAAGAAAGAAAAAGAAAGAAAAATATATGATAGAGGAAGGAAAAAAAGAAAAGGAAGGGAAGGGAAAAGAAAGGAAGAAAGGAAGAAAGGAAGAAAAATGAGAACGGAATGAAGAAAGCAACCAAGTAAGAAAAGAGAGAAAGAGGAAAGCCGAAAGCTCAAGACTTATATTATCTTTGTGAGGAAGCTTTGTAAATTAGCTTTAAAAAGTTGCCTTAATATGACAACGTTCACTCACATACATCAGATAAGTTCCTTTCTAATGAGGGGAAAATCAACATTCTCACTTACATCCTATAACTATAGATTGAATCTTCATCACCTAAAATGTATTATGTAGTAGAAAATGTATCCGACATAGCATATGTATATTTTGACTCGGCACTTAGTTTTTATACCTTATATTCTAGAAAAGCAGTTAAATTAACTATGGAATATTTAAAAAGGTGGATAAAATTTATTTTTAGATTTTGTTATATATGTATATATGATTTTGTTTGTTTTATGTGTGTGTGTGTGTGTGTGTGTGTGTGTAGCTTAATACTATTAAATGTGGATACAATTATGAAATTCCCACCTTTATTGATTACCAAGAAATGTCTTGTTCATATTTTACTTTAATTCCCGAGGTGTTTGGTTAGAAAAGATCAACATACTGCCTGAAACAGATTGTGCTAATTCTCCTTTTATGTCCACAGGGAAGAAGAAGTTTACTATATAGATTAAATTTTAAAAAAATACAAGCTAATTATGATGAATTCCTAAGAGCAATAAAGAATTAAAATTATTACATGTATAATTTCAATTAAACTAGACCATTTGCTAAACTTAGAAATATTTTAAAAATCAGGCATTTTTGCTCATGGTGTCTGACATTTAAACCTAATCATTGTTAACTTAATTTTAGAGAAAAATAATTTATATTTGTCAGTCAGCTTTCTTATAATTAAAATTGCTTAGAATCATTATATTGCCTTATAGAGATAGCTTGGAATTCAAGAAGCATATCTGTGATTTGAAAATAAAACTTTAGGTGTAAAGCATCAAATTACGTTTAATCTTTTCTGTTCTGTGAAACTGTAAATACTATTTCTCTGAAACTCAAAAAAGTTTATTTGTAGGTGTTTTCCACAATTAAAATGAGCATGATCTGCGTAGCCCAAGTCCATCAGGAGCTGTTAAGAGATTTAGTTTTGCTGTTCAACCACAAGTCTGGCAAAGGAAGATCAATTTTAACTGAAAATAGCTAACCTCACATGGGCAGAGTATATGTGAACAGATTATGGGTGGACATAAAATCTCCTTTAAAACCTAAAATTAAATGCAAGTTTTGGAACCTCAAGATGTACGGTAATGAAAAGTGAATGAATTTTCCTTTAAGGTAGCTTGTAGTTGTAGTTTCTGAGTCTATTCATTTCTCAGTACAATCTGTTGCTTTGTGTTTCAGCTGCCTGCTCTGCTCATTTATAAAAAGAAAAAGAAAAAAACTATCCCAGGCTAGTGTTAAAAATTACAATGAAATGTGAGAATGTGGAATGTGGATTATAGTTTTTAAAGCCAGACTAGGATAACCGGTGGAGAACTTGAAAGGCCATAATGAGGTTTTAAAAAGTCAGGAACATCCTCATGGTTATAAATCTTAGATGCATTTTAACAAAATGCACACTGTCCAAGTGGTACAGAAATTGGTTTGTGCCACTCCACATAAATAGAGATGGGTCAAAAGTAAATTTAGTGTGTTCCACACCAGGGCTTCATTTATTATGTAATCCATTTCATCTGTTGCAGTAGAGATTTTCTATTCCTCGATTAATGCAAACCCAAAGCTGTTACCAGAAATCTGACAATTCATTTGTTCATGCGTGCATTCCTCAATCATGCACTAAGAATTTGGTAGGCGCCACATGCTAATGACACAAAATTAAATAGACAGTGCTCCGGCCTCCCAGGAGCTATGCTCTAGTGGAGAAGAAAGGCAAGTGTGCATGTAATATTAATCCAAAGTGACAGCGAGGTGTATTCAGGGACCTATGGGTTCCCCGCCATGGGTAGGGAAACCCGCTCATTCAGCATAGTCATCGGGAAAACTTTCTAGAGGTAGTTATACCTAAACTGAGTTCTGAAAGTTCATCAGTGATTAGCTCAGTAGTGTCCTGCGTAGGAAAAGAAAGATTCCCTAGAGAAAGGAGGAAAATATATGAAAACCTAGAAAGGAAAGACAGCCTGTCCTGCTAGGTGGATTAAAATAGTCTGGCGCATAGTATGTGAGCAGGAGGTGAGAGGAGATGTAAGGCTGGATGAGCCAGCCAGGGACCGATGACAAAATGCCTCGGATGTCATGCTAAACCAGTAAGGTTTTGAAAGGAGAGCAAAAGAAGGTTGGGAGAAATCACTCTGGCTGCCTTGTCATATTGGAACAAGAAAAAAGGAACAACGACTACTCAAAAGCCCAGAGCTGTGATATAGACAGAGATTCGCCAGAAATGGGGAGATGACAATACGTACAAAAATAAATTCAGTAGGACTATTGATGGAATAGATTGGAGTCACATAAAGAAAAGCAGAAAACCAGGCATGGCCAGTGTCACTGGATGATGGATGCAGGAAAAGGCGGGTGCTTGAGGTAAAATTTCCTGAATTCAGTTTTAGACCCTTGAAGACCCTAAAGTACCTCTAGGGCAATGGTCCCCAACCTTCTTGGCATCAGGAACCTGTTTCGTGGAGGACAATTTTTCCATGGACGGGAGGGGCAGGGGTGAGGCAGAGGGGAATCCATTAGGCATTAGATTCCCATAAGGAGCACACAACCGAGACCCCTCATATGCGCAGCTCACAATAGGGTTCGTGCTCCTATGAGAATCTAATGCTGCTGCTGATCTGACAGCAGATGGAGCACTGCTTGCCCACAGCTAACCTCCTGCTACGGTGGGGTGGGAGTGACTGGGAGCCCCTATTCTAGGGCTTTCATGTTGATTACCAGATTCTGCAAACATCAAGGAGATGCAGACTCCTAAGAGAGACTATGAAAAGGTAACCAAATAGACGATTACTGAAACTATAAGAATAGATGTGTTTGCCAAGGAAGTATGTAAAAAAAACTGGGGGGGGGGGGTTAAAAATGGAATCCTGAAGTGCATTTAAAAGAAAAAGCAGAGCCAGCAGAGCCTGGAAAAAGGAAAGAGGAAACACAGAAAAGGCAGATGGCACCAAAGGGAAGTGGAGAGAGTCTCAATACAGACCAAGGCGCAATCAGTAGTGTGGAAGGCCAGTGCTCTGCTCCAGCTATGGAGGCTGTTGACAGGTTAGTTTTAACTTAGGCATGGGGAATCGGCCTGTGAAAACGGTCAAGGGGGAGGGCCGTGTGGCTGAAGGTGCACTTGAGGGAGGGAGTGAAGTCATGAACCGTAAACTCAACCCTGGAGAGGAAGGGAACTGAAGAAATGAGGGCAGCTGCAGGAGTGTGGAAGGTCTTGAAGAAATTGAGAAAGAGATGGAGTGATAAGATGGACAGACACGCAGATAACTTGAATTTAAACAAGGGAGGGAGAAGGGGATGCAGTTATTGTTCACCTTCACCAGAGTCTTGCATTTGTTAAATCAATTCAAGTGGACCAAGTATGGGGAAGCTGGCCCTGCATGCATGGGCACCCAGCGATAGCAAAGCTTCCTATCTGCTCCACACACAGGGCAGGGCGGGTGTGAGAGTGGGGTCAGAGACCTTTCCTGGCTCTGGAGAGGGTCTGGAACCACTGCACTACGATTTCCATTCCATTTGGCAGAGATAGGCCTGAGTCTTAGAGTGTGGTTTCCCTTCGTTTCATGGTCTGGGTGCCACTACTGTCGGTTCAGGGGGGTCTGTCCCTGTCTCGGGGATGTTTCTAATTCTCCCAGTTGATGCCCTCTTCGTTGCACAGGCCCCATCTCTGATCCCTCCCCAACATTTCCCCACTCCTAGACCCCACTTCTGGGGTTGTTTTGATCTGGAAAACAGATACATTAGCATGAATAAATGGGACTATCGTATTTTATATATGAACTTTGTTTAACTCTCAACTTTGGGAGACTAAATTCACAAATGCAGGACTCTTAAAGCTTGAGCCTCTTTCTACACTGAATGTAAGTATTTGTGTTTCTATCCTATCACTCTTCAGTCTAGGACCTTAACTCCTTTGAGACCTATAATCTTCTGATCTTAATATCCTCTCCTTCTCTGAACTCTTTTCTTATTCCCTCCATCTCCTCCTCCTCCAGGGTAGAGCTCACGGTCCACAACTTTACTTACTCCCTTCAGTGCACATGCAATCCTACGGCTCCCCACCCCGAGTGTTCACCGGCTAACCCACCGCTCCCGGCAATTTAGATCCAACTATCAACACATTCTGTAGCCAGAGAAGAATGCGAAATCATGCCTTGACATCTCAATTTGTGATACTTTCAAGGGAGCTTTTTGGATTTCCAGGAAATATCAATGCATTTCCTTAGTCTGTTTACTTTTCCACCCTCTAGGATGATTTACATCTTACTTTTTCTGCCCAAGCCTGTACCTTCTTGATCTTCCTGATTATGGTGCTTCCTATTTCATTGAGAAAATAGAGGCAGTTAGAAGAAAGAGTTGCCTGCATGCTCCCACCACCTGCACAGATGCTCACGCACTCTGCCTTGTTTCCACTGATAGGAGCTGGACCGAATGAATGAATTATCTGTACATCTATTAAAGGCCAAGGCTGTTATTCGTGTGCATTGAATCTCACTCCACTCCATCTTGACTATTCAAGGACATCTCTCA